TCTAGCATATTCTACGTCTACATCCCATTTTAAAAATTTTTGAAAATGAAAAAAAAACATAGGGGCGAAATTTTTTTTTATTGACGGTGCTGCGTATTTTCTTCCATATAAAAATTTTGTCAAGCATACTTTGTATGGTAGAAAATCAAAAAATGGTGCGCTATTCAAATGACGAGGAATGTATATATGTAGTATATTTTTGTTATTTTTATACTACGCAATTATATGTAAGTAAATTTTTTGAAAAATTGTCGTGCATTTTCAAAATATATTTATGGTCACCGTACCTATAGTAGAATTCAGCAAACAATTTTTTGAAGGGATATTTTAACCCACTAATTCCTACCACAACCGGTTATGAAATAATGGCAGCTAGAGGGTTAACACGTTTTACGAATATGTTAAGCACAAAATTTTACAAGGGGATACAAAAATCGAAAATCTTTTGTGGATTAAGGGGAAGACTAAATACATAATGAGATCTGCGCTAAACAGCGTCATGTTAGATAGATAGATAGATGAGTAGGGTAAGCACTGCGACCACTAGGAGTCAGTGAGTCGATGTGCTCTTCACTTGGCGATATATGTATATCCTAAGCGCCTATCCCTTCTTCGTGAAACGGCCTAGCATTAGAAGGTACACTGGTGTCTCTTTGGCGGAGTCACAGAAACGACATCTGGAGATCTGGTCCCAGACTAAACAAGTGGCCTCTAAGCCTGCAATGACCCGCCAAAATGCCTATTTTTAATCTTAGCCTCTCATTAAGGAGGTTTATAAGTAGCCTGCATCTCTTTAGATTGTACCCCCGTAATAATCTCTTGGCTTGACGAGGTCCCGTGATGCTTCGCCAATGCAGTTCCCTCAGTTTATTATTTTCCTTCCTGAGCGCCTCCTTTATCGTACCCGTGGGACCCACCGCAAGGAAGACCTCCGGCCCTATCGGCGTCGTGGTGGCAGCCAGCCCGGCTAGCTGGTCAGCTACTTCGTTTTCTTCGACACCATTGTGCCCTGATATCCATATTATTTAGCAGATATGACGATTAACGAAATTAAATGAGCTTCATCGTTTAGGACGAGATTGCTCGAAAAACTGGCATTCAGTTCTTTTGTCATGCGCTAACAAATCCGTCGGGGTCATTTGAACGATGTGCTCCATAAATCTACTCCATGAACACCTCACAAATGGATTTAAACAATAAAAATTAAATCGATATTCTCGACCTCCTAAAGCTGGAGCATCCTTAAGTAAAATTAAATCTGCGTATGCCGCTCTCCAAAGCGTCTATCGTCTTTTTTTCTCTTACTACTCAGTTACCTTATCAATTGAGGATTTTTTTTTCAAGCTAGCAAAAATGCTAGTATTTGCCCAGGGCGACAATCAAATGAATCCCAAATATTGTTGAAGTCTAATTGCAGAATTTTTTTTTTCATTTCTAAAAAATAACCAATATTTTGCGCTTACACATTGGGCCGTATGCATAAAACCCAAGCAAATGCTTTTTATTTAAATTTCAGACCTTTTACTCGATTTGTTTAAATAAATTTAAGTGAAAGGTATGCAATTTTAAGTAAAACTTCTCTTCCGAAAACTCGCAAGATTTTATTCGGTGAGTATTTGGTTGTGAGTTTTGCACTCGGTGCACATTGTATTTTCTCACAGTTACATAATCCAGCCCCAGGTATCCAACTCTGGGCTTACCGAGTGGTTTACTCATTCATAAATAAATTGTGAATACTCTCTACTTTGAATTACCTCAACACTTTAAGATCACGTCCCTCCGCTGTCTTTCCAATTGAATATAAACG